CACCTTCTCCATAAATTGTGGTGAACAACCATCACATTTATGCAACACCACTAAATAAATTGATGTAGAAAAGTTAGCGGATATGATAAAAGAAGAATTGGAGTGACGCACACATGGAAAAATTCAGTAAACTGCGATAGGGCGCCAATTTAAGCCCATAACTCGCCATTTCAAAAAGAACAACGTCATAATTCACACACACAATAAACAGCTCTGACGAGTAAAGGGGCACTAGTGATGTACCTTGCAATTACCATACTCAAAGCAGTCTGGAGCATAGATGCGTGCGTACTTTGATATGCTCAAGGCAATGTTTTATATTGTAGTCCTTTAGGGTCCTTTTATGAGTTGTAAACCAAGCTTTGGTGTAACTCTAAATCTAAGTGAGAATCCAAGGATAAAGATCTCCTTAGCCGTACTGGCTCTTAACTCAAGTCCTACTCCAAATCCAAGTAGATTTGGGGTGTGAAATAGGCAAGTCTTAAGGAGGTTTGGACTTGGATTTTTTTCACTTACTAATCGTATCCTGACCTAATAATTACCGGACATAAGAGATTTCAACCCACTCCTTTCACATTAACCCACTAACTCACATGAGGGTGTAACGTTATATGGCCCCACAAGTGGTCTCAACTATTGTTTCTCCAAATGTGAATGCTTGAACGATCAACAGAAAACATTACTATAATGTTTATTTAAAGCATAAATATCTTCAATAACGAATTACTTATGTTAAAATTCCTTTCTTTTAGATAAAAATTAAAAATTAAAAAATGAGTTAGACAAAATGCAGGCAAAATTGTACCAATAGATTGCCTTCTAATTGTTTGATTGAGTGCACAATTGAGAGTAAGCACATGCTACATCCTTTGTAGTAATTAAGGTAAATCGAATCAAGATGTGAAGATTAGTATTAGGTTTAACTTATATATTCTAGTTTTCAATAGATTTATTAGACTAAAACAAATGAAGATGAAGATTAGATAAATTTATTAGCCAAAATGGAATCATTACCGAAAACGAGAAGCATCAATTATCGAACATGGCCTGGCCATCAAAGTTGGAGGGAGGAGGCATACGGTACCCACAAAAGCATGCAGGTAACCCCTTAGACATTGCTGTTTGATAAATTTATTCAGTCTTATTTTGAACTTTCGAAAATTTCATAATCTGATGGCAGAAAAAATTGAGTGAGAAGACAAAAGGGGCACGTGTGGGGGGTGAAAGCTGAAAAAGTCAACAATCATCAAAGAAACATACGCGTAACAATGGCCTGACAGGTGCTTTTAATTTAAGCCCCCAACTCTTTTTGAAAAGTGATTTTAACAAAATCCCAATTAGAGGGGACAAACAGCCGCTACCAGCCTGTACCCCAACCCCTCCCTCCTTCCTTCCTTCCTCATCACACATACACGCACACTGTGCAACTCTCTAACGTTCCTTCACATCTTTGAGCCCTCTAAGTTAAACCAAAAATAATAATAATTAACAAGTATATTATGTAGTAAGTATATGTGTTAATTACTAAAAGGTCAATAATTCATGTCCTAAGTGAATCTCACCTGCTACTAATGCACTCTTAAAAAAATGATCCGTCTAGCATTATTTTATTTTTTTGAGAGAATCTCGACGGAACGAAAAGTCCAGCATTATTTTATATTTATGTTTATATATACGTATTTTAGACTCCAAGGTGCCATGCGATATATACAGACTTCCCATGTCTTGTAACTTATGCTGCCTGGTTCGAAATTATAAACAATCACCCACTTCCCCTACCTAGCATAAATAAAAACAATAATAATAATAATTGTCCTCTCGCTCTCTCTCTCTCTCTCTCTCTCTCTCTCTGGTATATATAATAGCACCAGCTCAACCACGATCACACCTCCAAAGTACAAAGTTCAAACTCAAATTCCCTATCTTTGGATCACCTTGTTTTTCTCTTCATAATATTAATTCTTTTAATCTTCCAGCTGAAACAGAAACAAGCAATGGTTGTACCATCTCCTTCACCAATACGAACCAAGAAAACCAAGGCAGTAGGAATTCCCACAATCGATCTATCAAATTACAATAGGTCAAAGCTATCGGAACAAATTGTCGAGGCCTGTGAAGAGTATGGTTTCTTCAAGGTGGTGAACCACGGCGTCTCGAAAGAGGTCATTGGGAGAATGGAAGCACAAGGTGCTGATTTTTTCGCCAAACCCGCCATGGAGAAGCAACGAGCTGGCCCGGCTTGTCCTTTTGGTTATGGCTGCAAAAACATTGGCCGCAATGGTGACATGGGAGAGCTTGAATACCTTCTCCTTCAAACCGATCCTCTCTCTGTTTCTGAGAGATCCAATGCCATCTCCAACGACCCTACAAAATTCAAGTATGTTTTTCTTCTAATTAATTAGTATACACACATGCATGTCACATATTTATTTCTGGAAAACAATGATAAAGAAAATGAAGAACAATATATAAAGCCTTGAGAGAACTGGGTTTTCGGTTTCTGTTTCTTCGAGCAGGTTCGCGGGGTTCATGGTATTAAGTTTATGGCGTGTTTGAATTAATTTCTGTAATTTGATGAATTATAATTACAATGCCATTATAAATATAGAAACATTATTGGAAAAAGAAATCATGGCACTATTGGCCAACAAAGGAGGGAGGGAATTGATTTTGCAGATGAATAGGTGGAGAAGATTGTTTAGTAATGCTTGGTATCCTAGAGAACGACATATTTCCTTATTGGAAAAAGAAAGGATTAAAAAAACCAGACTTCATAATCTATATTTATTTAATAAGTCTTTTGTTGTCAATTTATTCAATTTATTATTATTATTTTTGTTTCACGGACATAGCTACCTCATAATAGACCTTCAAATTATTAGTTGGATCGGCATTCTTTTCATGGTTTGTTAATGGCAGGGCACCAAATATATAATATAATAGCTTTGACTTTCATACAGAGTTTTTTTTTGGGTCATGCATATACCCGACTCTTTTGGTTGAGAAATTCTGTTTTTCGACCGTAATAATATGCTGACCTAAAATTATAAATTTATCGAAATTATAATACATATACAGTTATTAATATTTAATTTTAAAATCGAAAGAGATAAATCACACTATGTCACGTGTTATTATTACTGTTCTAAAAATCGACAGAGATAAATCACTCTTGAATATAGATGGCAAAGCTTTTTGCAATAATTTGAGGCTAAACATTTTAGGGCCCGACTTGAGTAGTTGGAAAATTTGAACGTCATCTCAATGAGCTTAGATTTCTCATCATCTTATCCTGTTCTCGTTTCTGCAACATTTTGATGAACAGTAGTCGTTCTCCATTGATACATTTGAAGAACTGGGGTCATCTTTTTGTACTGAATGCTAGCCAATCTGTGAATGAAGCATGTGCATGAGATTACAAATTGACATGACTGTTTGGATCGATCTTCTATATATTCTTTTTTCTTGCATGAGCCGAGTATGAGACAGCTTGAATTTATTGGCCTTTTCATTTGAGCAAAACATTTCAACCATGCATACAAAAACAAGAGAGTTTATATGCTTAGGCAGGCTTGCATGGGACTACCCCATGTTCAACTGTGGGACTCCCACTTTTCGCGGTAGCCAGGAGGGCCATACCATTATTTGCATGAAAATTTAAACAATCAATCATATATATATATATATATATACATTTTCTATGATAGCTACATAGCTTTGCAAATCATCAAAAGATAAAAAGAAAAGTTAAATTGCACAATCCATCCCTTTTGCTAATGCTAAATTTGGGAACGACATTGAGATGACATTTCGATTTATTTTTCAGTGTATAATGGGCAGAATCAATTCACCAAATGATGTATCAATATATATAACGTTTACATTCAATCAAACACTGTGATGTTATTCGATAAAGAATATAGTATACGAGTTTGCTGTGTATTTTTAATTTTGAAGTAATGAATAATGATCAATTTTGTTTGAATTAATCCAGCTGTGCAGTAAATGATTACACAGAAGCAGTTAAGGAATTGGCATGTGAGATTCTTGATCTGGTGGGTGAGGGACTATGGGTTTCAGACAAATCTGTGTTCAGTAGGTTCATCAGAGACGTCCAGAGTGACTCAATTCTGAGGCTTAATCACTATCCTGCGGTCAAGGACCCATCACCAAAACAACAGCTTCATCCGTATGGTAACAATAATAGGATTGGATTTGGAGAGCATTCTGACCCTCAGATCTTAACCATCCTAAGATCCAACAGCGTGGGGGGCCTTCAGATTTCACTGCATGATGGCTTGTGGGTTCCCGTCCCTCCTGACCCCAATCACTTCTTTGTAATGGTTGGTGATGCCTTACAGGTCAGTAACACCAATTCTTTCTTTTTATTTCCTCAACATATATGTACCAATTTTCCATCATATTTAAATTAACAAAAGTTCAACTGAATTATGACTCGGAAAAGTTTATAATTTTTTTCATGAAAAAAAAAGATATAATTTTTTTTTATTCACTAGTGTATTTTAGATTAATTATGATTTGAAAAAGTAAAATTTCTTTATCACTAGAAAATGAAAGTCAAACCCCCCTCTATCTCTCTCTTTCACACCACACACACACGTTGGGTATGAGAATCATTTCTTTTTAAAGCAAAAATATAGTAATGGTCCCTCAAATAAGACCCTATTTTAATTTTAGTTCCTCATCTCCAAAAATTGTTATGATGGTACTTCAACTATGCCTAGACTTTCAGAACTCGTCCTTTCCGTCAATTCCATCAACTTTTCCGTGAAAAATAGGGCTATATTTGTCTTTTCATGTGCTTAATAAGCACAACCTAGCCCCAACAACCACCTCTCTCTTTAACAAAAGTTCAACTGAATTATGACTCGGAAAAGTTTATAATTTTTTTCATGAAAAAAAAAGATTTAATTTTTTTTATTCACTAGTGTATTTTAGATTAATTATGAGTTGAAAAAGTAAAATTTCTTTATCACTAGAAAATGAAAGTCAAACCCCCCTCTATCTCTCTCTTTCACACCACACACACACGTTGGGTATGAGAATCATTTCTTTTTAAAGCAAAAATATAGTAATGGTCCCTCAAATAAGACCCTATTTTAATTTTAGTTCCTCATCTCCAAAAATTATTATGATGGTACTTCAACTATGCCTAGACTTTCAGAACTCGTCCTTTCCGTCAATTCCATCAACTTTTCCGTGAAAAATAGGGCTATATTTGTCTTTTCATGTGCTTAATAAGCACAACCTAGCCCCAACAACTCGCTCTCCTTCTCTCTCCTCCTGCCACCCTTCACAAACCTAACCCCACAAATCCACCGCCGACCCCCCCCCAGAGATCCACTCTGGCCTCGACCCACTCTCTCCTTCTCTCATTTTCTTCCTCCCTCTGTTCATCAACCCTCTCCTCCTCCCAACCTTTTTCATCGATTGGTCTTCCTCTCAATCAATCGAACAATCTAAACAAAACCCAAAAGGATCATGAGAGAGAGAGAGAGAGAGAGAGTTGTCGTCGGGTTTGGTTAGAATGAAGTGGTGACTGGGTAAAAGTCTTATTTGCCTTTAATTTTGACATAAAAATTAATAAAATTGACAAAAGGACGAGTGGTGCAACGCGATATCTAAATGAAGGATGACCATAACAATTTTTTGAGTTGAGGGACGAAAAGTAAAGTAGGGTCTTATTTGAGAGAATGTTGCTACGGTTTTGCCTCTTTTTAAAATACAAAAGCATCTAACTTAAAATCTGATTTTATATTAATAAAAAAAATAATTTTCTTCAATGATAATGACAATCAAAATGATAGATTAATGTATTTAACAAAGGGCCGAAATTAAAATCTAATTTAACACTAATACAAATGTTGTCTTCAATGATGACGATGTAATTTTTGATATTTTCAAAAGTAAATTCAAAATACGTGTAATCACTCGAAAGTCATACATAAATTTCAAACTTCTGCAGCGTAATATTAAGCATGTATTAATGTTATTTTGTTTATAATCACCAGGCTTTGACGAATGGGAGGTTCGTAAGTGTGAGACATAGGGCATTGGCAAACTCAGTTATGAAGCCAAGGATGTCGATGGTGTACTTTGGGGCACCACCCCTAAATGCATGGATGTCTCCACTTCCCGAGATGGTGTCGCCGGAGAAGCCCAGCCTCTACAAGCCCTTCACATGGGGCGAGTACAAGAAAGCAGCATACA